ACTTGAACTTTACATCGACTCCACTTCAGTGTTGACCATCCCTCGTATGTCACCTATAATACAGTCGAAGTTACACCCTTAATTTGGTTGACCATCCCAAGAAACATGACCAAATACCATTGACACCAATAATCCAGAGAATGTTAGTTCAATTCACTATATTAGGCTCCATGGCAGTGTAAGAATTTAAATTTGGGGTTTAAAAATAATTAAATAATATGTGCAATAAAGAACTCGTCTCTTTAAAAGTAACCATGAACCTGTTGAATTGCTACAAAAGTTTATTAACGTTCTTTAGGGAAAGCCACCTGGTGTCCTCACCTGGTCTTGCCTACAGGTGTCTCCCATCCACATTAAAAGTGCTCCAAAGAATAACATGATATGATTCAAAGCGCAGGCTCAGTGAAGATCATCTTGGGGCAACTATAAAAATAAATCCCAACCTTGCTAATTATACCCTATCCTGAGAACAACTGGGCAAAAAAAACCCCTCCTCCTCTATACATATGATTTGGAACTTGTGGGTAGTGAACAAGTCTTCACAATTGATGTGTCTAGCATTGCCCATCACTGCCAAAACTTGCCTGTAATTGGTGTTCTTATACTGGAAGAATTTGGTTGAACCTGCTTTGCTAATTTCTTCTCTGAGAGGTTAGGTTAGGCTCTTTGTGTGCCTTTTGATTTAGAAGTCTGTGAAATTGTTAAGAGTTCTATTTGTTCCTCATTTCTGATGGTGTTGTGTGAAATCTGCATGAGTCAAGGTAGATAGGAGGTGATTGAGAGTATATTGATGTGTGGATTGATTGTGACCTGGGGATGTAAAAGGAGACTTGATAAAGTCTTCAAAATTATGGAAGAGTTTGATTGGGTGAAGGAGGATTCCATTAGGTTAGAAGATTAAATGAGAAGCTTTGTGCAGTTTGGACAATGCATTCAAAAAAGGTAGGGGTCATCAGGAGTATAATCAAAAGTATATCCCAGTTGGGTTGAATGACCTTTTTTCTGTTTTGTGCTTTCTATATGAATGTAATTTGTAATGAGCTATAGGATATTGAATTGCAGACCAGGCTTGAATGGCCATATGGCTGCCTTTGCTCCTGTTTTCTATGAAGGCAGCAAAATTATCTCAGTCACTACTGCCTTCCCTACCTCAAACCATTTGGTTTGAAGGAAGCATTGTACAAGACAATGCTGCAGGTATCTTATAACTTTAACAGTGGCCTCCAAACTAAGGATGTCACACTATCCTTGGTGCTTGCCTTCTGCATGGACATCTTTTTAGTGAGGCACAGTTGTTGACGTGTGGATTTGACATCAAGCTGTGTTATCCATTGGTATTCTAGCACAGCTTAAATCTTGCTCTCAGCAACCTCCAAGGTGCAGTTGGTGAGATGGTCGTCCTTTTCACTGACCCTACACTCTGATGATTGGAACCTAATACAGTAGCAAAATAATGCCAACGATTGCTCAGTAGTCAGAAGGTTGTGGATTCAAGCCACAGTCTTGAGGACATAATCTGGGCTAACACTGAGGACAGTACTGTAGGAGTTCTGCACTCAGAGGTGCCATCCTTTCGATGCTCCTATCGTACAGCTATTTAAAGAAGTGCTAGAGAGTTCTCCCAATGTCCTGGTCAACTTTTATTCCTCCGCTAATATCACTGAAAGAAATTACTTTCACATTTATCTCATTGTTGTTGATGAAACATTCATGCGGCCGCTAGCTCATGTGTTTCCTGAATTGCAACAGAGACTAGAGTTCAAGAGTAGTTTATTTGTTGTGAAGTGTTTTGGAATGTTTGAGGGCTTGCAAAGTATTCTTCTTTAAATGCATGTTTACTACCATAATCCTCCCTGTATTAACCTACGGTATTCCCTCTGCACCTCCTTTAAAATTGTCACTTTACGACCCTCTACACCCAAAATTGCAGTGTTTGAAGGGAAGTTTATAATGTCTCATTTTAAAAATATTAACTATTTTTACTGTTTACTGAAGCTGACTAATAATCTGTTCAAGTTACAGATTTGGAACTTTGTCATTTTTATTATTCTGTTTGGATTATTATAGTGGTTTTGATACAGTGAGTATGATTTTAATAGTGAAGTTTGCCATCAGATTATGCGATGACATTTGATGGGATCACCGAGGAGAGATTATGTCTCTTCAGCATGGAAATCAAATTAAAATCATTCCGAGAGTGTAGAATTGAGGCCAGAAAAATGTTTTAATGCAAACGATTGTTCAAGTTTACAACCTTTTTGACAAAGGGAGTGCAAGGTGGAGAGACTACCGCAAAGGGAAAAATCGATCTGACATTCTGGTTGAGAGAAAGATCGCATCAGAGCGTTGAACTTTTAACTGCAAAAATTAAACTGCTAGTTCATTACTGTCATTTAAAGCACAGTATTTATAAGCATATTTATAATGTTCTCTCAGCGTCAAAGTTCTGGTCACGTGAGCCAAAGAATGGCAGACGGAGTTTAATAATTCACATAAATGTGAGGTGTTGCATTTTGGCAAAACAAACCAGGGCAGGACCAACGTAGTTAATAGTAGGGCCCTGGGGAGTGTTGTTGAACAGCAAGATTTAGGGCTGCAGGTACATTATGCCTTGAAAGTGGCATCACAGGTAGACATGGTGGTGAAGAAGGTATTTGGCATGTTTGGCTTCATCAGTCAGAGCATTGAGTACAGGAGTGGATGTCACATTATGGCTGTACAAGACATTGGTAAGGCCACATTTGGAATGCTGTGTGCAGTTCTGGTCACCCTGCTATAGGAAGGATGTTGTTAAACTGGAAAGGGTGCAAAGAAGATTTATAAGGATGTTGATGAGATTGGACGGTTTTTGTGTTATAATGACACACTGGGACATTTTTCCCTGAAGCGTAGGTGGCTGTGATTTGTAAAATCATGAGGGACATAGATAAGGTGAATAGACTAGGTCTTTTCCCCAGGGTAGGGGAGTCCAAAACTAGAGGGTATAGTTTTAAGGTGAGAAGGAAAAGGTTTAAAAGGGACCTGAGGGGCAACCTTTCATACAGAGGCTGGTGCGAATAAAGGGCAAGCAGCCAGAGGAAGTGATGGAGGTGAGTACAATTAGAGCATTTAAAAGGTGTGTGGATAGGAAACGTTTAGAGGGATATAGGCCAAATGCAGGCAAATGAGACTAGATCAATTTAGGAAACCTGGTCGGTATGGACAAGTTGGGCCAAAGGGTCTGTTTCTGTGCTGTATTACTCTGATTCAAGCCTACCCTCAGGACATAAATGAAGGCTAATGCTCCCTGTGCTGTATTGAGGGAGTGTTGCATAGTGTAGATGTCATTTTTCAGATGAGCGGAACCCCCATGTGCCTGCTGCAATGGATACAAAAGATTCCTTGGCTCTGCTTTGAAGAGCAGACGAATTATCATTGGAGTGCTAGACAATTGTTATCCCTCAGCAACTTCATGAAAACAGATTATCTGGAATATTGTGTTCAGTTCTGGTCGCCTCATTATAGGAAAGATGTGGAAGTTTTAGAGAGGGTGCAGAGGAGATTTACTAGGATCCTGCCTGGACTGGAGGGTAGGTCTTATGAGGAAAGGTTGAGGAAGCTAGGGCTTTTTTCATTCGAGTGAAGAAGGATGACAGGTATACAATATGATGAGAGGCATAGATAGAGTGGATCGTCAGAGACTTTTTCCCAGGGTGGAAGTGACTGTCATGAGGGGACATAATTTTAAAGTGATTGGAGGAAGGTATAGGGGAGAAGTCAGAGATAGGTTCTTTACACAGAGAGTGGTGGTGGGTGCGTGGAATGCACTGCCAGCGGTGGTAGTAGAGTCAGATACATTAGGGACATTTAAGTGACTCTTGGATAGGCACCTGGATGATAGTAAAATGAAGGGTATGCAGGGTAATTTTGATCTTAAGAGTAGGATAATAGGTTGGCACAACATTGTGGGCTGAAGGGCCTGTACTGTGCTGTACTGTTCTATGTTCTGTGGTCATTATCACACTGTCTGTGGGAGCTTGCTGTGCAAAAATTGACTGTTGTTTCCTATATTACAACAGTGACTACACTTTTTGAAATTACTTTATTAGTTGTAAAGCTGTGAAAAGTGCTATGTAAATGCAAGCTTTTTAAATACATTATATCATGCTGCAAGTTAATATATCATACCCTAAACACATTGTACTACTGAGACTCGACATTTCCACATGTATATAATTTGTAAAGTTTACGAGCCTTGAGGTCTTTGCTGTAGTATGGAAATTGGCAACACATTTACAATCTCTTGGATGTTTAAGGTCGGGATCATTGCCCACACCTTGTTACACCTTTTTTAACTTGTATCCAAAGGTTATAGGATTAGTCAAGTATAGTTCCACAGTCTTAAAAATTCAATCACAAAAGAACTACAACTTAATAATTATGTGCAGACAAGAAAATAGTGTGCAGCTAAAATCAAGTTTGCAACGTTGTATAGCTCTTCATGTTAGCGCTGTGTTGTTTCATGAGGTCAGAGACATTCATTGTAAAAATTACCAGTTGTAGCTGGCATTCCAGACATCTTTGGAGGGAAGAGTGAGAGCTTCTAAAATAAGGAAGGGAGGAGAAATGGGATAGATTGAAGTATACAAGAGGAGGGAGGAATGAGAATAAGTCATGAATGGGAGAAGTCCAAAGGCAAAAGGGTGAGAGTTTCACAACTATAAAATTGATTTTGCATTGGCTGACATTTATGGTTATATCAAAACTAAATAATAAATATCTAATTTGTGTGAAAGTTGGTCATTGCACGTGGGCATGGTGTGAGAAATTAGGAAAAGTAAACTTTTAATCTTAATGCTCCTTGACTTCTGAATCTGTGCATCTTCCTAATACAGCCTTTTTTTAAAATCTTCCTGTCCCCATATATTTAAAGTTTGTTGTACTCAGTTATGTTATCTGTCTTTTGCTCTTTTTAACAACTAATCAGTTTTTAAAAATCTTGTCCCATTTTTTTCCTTCAGTATTTACTAGAAATGAAAAGTTTAATTTTACCACCAGAACACATTCTGAAGCGGGGAGACAGTGAAGCAATAGCATATGCTTTCTTTCATCTTCAACACTGGAAGAGGGTAGAGGGGGCCCTTAACCTATTGCACTGTACGTGGGAAGGCAGTAAGTATCCTTTTGCTGTTCGTGTCAAAGCTCACTAACCTAATTCAAAGCGATTTTCGAGTGATCTTGTTTAATTGGATGGCCTGAACACTCTGAGTCTCATGCTGTTTTTGTAATGAAGATTTAACAAGAAATGTGAAGGTTTTCCTGAGTTTTAAACCTCTGGCTGATGTGATTATTTTCTAGCATGTGATTCTTTATTGGGAGATTCGTTGAAGAGAATAATCTTGGATCAAGGCTTCCGAGACCTTCATTTGGTTTAAAAGAAAGTATTGAGCAGTATTTTACTTTTCACACTAGCCATGTTGGTTGTTTACATTTTATGGCAGTATTTATGAGGTTGCGATTTATGTGCTATTTTTGAGCTAGGAACTGTAGGCATAGATAAAATTGACATAGAGTCATCATAGAAATGTTTGGCCAATTATGCCGTTGCCAGTGGTTGTTCCATATTGAACGTTATCAACATCAGTCCTGTGTTATGTATTCAACTGTGAAACTCTAGTTTGCAAGTCCAGTAGAATAATAATTAAGCTACTGCGACCCAGAGGGTGACAGAACTGCCAAATACACTGGAAAAGACTGAAGGATGAGATCCCACCCTGCCATTTGGATCCTTTAGTTACTTGAAGAAGTACAAATGATAAGGCTTTGCTAGGATTCGGGGGTGCAGGGTGATGTGGTGTGGCGTGGTGTGTGTGAACCTCATGTCCAATAACTCTTGGTGATAAGTCTTGGTTGGTTATAAGGATGAATGTATGGGTATTGTAATACAGTAGTTAGGTTACTGGATTAATAACTGGACTAATAATCTGGATTTTTTGAGTTCAAATCCTATTCCGGTCTTAAAATTTTTTAATTTATCAAACCATGGGGAGGAAAAATATGGTAAAAGTGACAATGATTGTTATAAAACCCCACACAGTTTTCTTATATGCATAGGAAAGTTATCTTCCTTACCTAGTCTTGCCTCTATATGAATCTAGTCCCACACCAGTGTGGTTGACATTTTGCCATCTGAAGTATTTTAGAATACATGCATAGAAGCAGAATTTAAAAAAAAACTTGCATTTATGCAAAATCTTCAGTGATCTTGGGCCCCAGCGCATTTTACAGCAAATGAAGTAATTTTGAACTGTAGCGAAACATGGCCACTAATTTGCGCCCCATAAGGCCCAATTAACAATAATAAGCAGATTAAACTGTTTTAGAGATGTTGATTTAAACAAAAATACAGGCCAGTACAACTTCCCTGCTTTTTCTTTTTGAATAGCATGCATCACTGGAGGTGAAACTGGACGTCACTGTACGTGTTTTCTCAGTCTGTGACGATTTATGTCATCAGAGGTGAAGTGGATTTCAACTGAATCCTACTTTACTCAATATTGAATGAACGCTCTTTTTAAATACAATCTGATGGCCTTACCAGGATGGGAAAAGCTGTGACAATACAATACTTAAAAGCTGGTTTCACAATCTCTCTCCAATTACTCAGCTCTCCCCTTTCTTTGTTGCCAATAAATCATCATAAACCACTTGGTCATTCGGTCCCATCAGCACCTCAACATTCTTTTACCACTCTTCTTCACATAAACACACTCTGTTTCCTTCCTGTACACAAAGCCCAAGGGCACTGTAAACATGGGCCTCAGAAATTTGATTAAAGGCAGTTTCAGCTGGCTGGGTGATGGGAGGGTGCGTAATTGTGTCTTGGAGGATGGTGAGTTTTTTTCAGAATGCAAATTTCAATGCCGTTTCTTCTCAACCTTAATGACTGGTAATCAGGGGCTGTAAAAGCTCAAGGGATTTCTTTGGGATGGATTAGTTTTATTGGGTGGTGTTTAGTACATGCCAACAGATGCATTCTGTCTGATGTGCATTTGTTGCCATTTTGTTATGTACGCATATATTGACTGAAATAAATTTATGTTCAGTGAATAAATTAGAAGGGTGTGTTCTGCATTCTGATCTAAAACATAACTAGGCAATTTAAGTCCAGATTTTCCCTCAACTGAGAAACCACAAAACACTTGCTCAGGGTAAAACTTATTTCCATAAATATCAGTCATTATAATCTACAGGTTGATGCATTGGCTGGATTTTATTTGGGATACAGAGACTTGGAAACTTTAAAACAATTTCTTCAGTTTCCTTACAGTATATTCTGAACAGTGCAAACTAGACTATTGACAGATGTACAGAGAAAAGAAAGATAACTGAAAATATGTAACAAGTCAGCCTGAAGGAAGAAGAAAATATTTTGACTGAAGAGACCTTTCTGTTTAATTTGTGTTCAACTTTGGCTACCTTTGGCCGAGTGCCTCAAATGTCTTCACTTTGTTTGTAAACCCCTCCAAGGTTTTGCCTTGTTGTCTCCGTAACCTCCTCCAACCCACAACACCCTCCAACTTTTCCATGGTTGGTAAGGAGAAAGTTTCCAGGATGTGGGATTGATGATATAAGGTTCCCAGTCAGGAGGGTGTGTGATTGTGGAGGGAATCTTGCCAGTGACAGTGTTCCTTTTTGTCTGCTGAGGTGGTAGGTTTGGAAGTTACTAGTTGCATCTGGATGCAGAGCTCTTTAAGTTAATGTGTGCAAGAAAAGAGGTTTGTGTTTACTTTGCACAGTTTGTGCCCATTAGTTGAATTGTTGTGTTTATTAAGTGAGATCATTAGTGCTAGGGGGCATACATGCTTTTCCACTTGTGGCACCTGAAGCATTCCTGAGTGAGAACAACTCATGTTAACACCTGTCTGATAGAATTCATTGTGTGGGGGTGCCATTCTTTGGCAATATCATTGTCGAAATTACATGGACAATGTTAAATAAACTGTCATCATTTGACAAGAAGAGGATATGTTTTCCTGCCCTGGCTAATATCATTCCTTCAACAAATGTCACCCAATAAAACAGATAGCGGGATCTTGCTGTGTACAAAATAACAACATTGGAAGTACGGTGATTGTTATGATGCTTTCTGTTGATAGGTCTTTCTTGAATGAGCTGTTGAATGGGCCTTTAGAAGCTGTGAAGTGAAGGATGCAGCTGAAGTTTGGGCAGTATATACCTAGGTAACATAAAATAGGAGTAGACTTATAGAAGCTGCAAAACAATTTTGAGCAATGATAAAATTAACAAATCCTACAATTGATTTTAACATTGAGTTAAGGTCCTGGGGACTGTTGCCAAACAGAGACCTTTGAGTGCAGGTTCATAGTCCTTTGAAAATTGAGTTGCATGTAGAGAGGATGGTGAAGGCTTTTGACATGCTTGCCTGTATTGGTCAGTGTATTTGAATATTTGGGAAGTCATGTACAGGACATTGGTTAGGCCAATTTTGGAATACGCATTCTGTTCTGGTCTCCCTGCTATAGAAAAAATGTGAAACTTGAAAGGGGTCAGAAAAGATTTATAAAGTTGTTGCCAGGGTTGGAGGGCTTGAGCTATAGGCAGAGGATGATAGACTGGGGCTATTTTCCCTGGAGAGTCGGAGGCTGATAGGTGACCTTATAGAGATATATAAAACCATGAAGTAAATGGATAGGGTGAATAGACAAGGTTTTTTTTTTCCCCAAGGTAGGGGAGTCCAAAAGTAGGGGGCATAGGTTTAAGGTGAGAAGGGAAAGATTTAAAAGGGACCTAAGGGACAACCTTTTCATGCAGAAGATGGTGTGTTTAAGGAATGAGCTGCCAGAGGAAGTGGTGGAGGCCAGTACAATTACAACATTTAAAAGGCATCTGGTTGGGTATAAGAATAAGAGGGATATGGGCCAAATACTGGCAAATGGGAATAGACCTATTTAGGATATGTGGTTGGCATGGATGAGTTGGACCAAAGGGTGTACATGGTGTACATCTCTGTGACTATAATTTCAACAGGTTATATAGATGCTATTCCTTCAGCACCTCTCAGACACGTGGCACTTACAAAGCTTACCTTGTCTGAGGGTCAGTTATTTAAAGCTAGAACCATTTATTTTGTTATAATTGCTAATACATAGGATCTCACAAGGAGAGAATCATTCACTCTGGAGACCTCTGCATTGCTGGAACATCTGTGGTTTATTACAGTAAATACCATGTATCTTATCTGTGTTACTGTTCTACTTTCAGCTTTTCGAATGATCCCCTATCCCTTGGAGAAAGGTCATCTTTTCTATCCATATCCCAGCTGCACAGAAACAGCAGACCGAGAGTTACTGCCATGTATGTTCCATGATCCAATCTTATACCTTGATGGCGAATGTTTCTTTACTCTTCCATTAAATTAAACCTTGAATAAAGTTTGTAAAAAGTAACTGTCATGCTTTAGTAAACTAGTAGAATGTGTTATGTTCCTACTCCACCTGCTGTTACATCCACTTCTGCACTGTTGAACTTGATTCATGTTTGTATAATCTCAAAGCTCAATTTATCAAATGTTCCCCAGCTACTTCCACCTCTGCAAGCTGCAACTCATCCAGAATGCTACAAACTCTTCTCTCATCTCTGAAATGCCCAACTGCCCTATCATTCACCTCTCCCACCCCCACAACTACAGAATGTGCATGTAATCGTGGTCAGTGTGATGTTGAATGAATGCTACACTGTTGGAGGTGCCAGCTTATGAATTAGATGTTGAAGACTTTCTGTCTGCCTTTCTAAATTCTTGGCACTGTTCAGAAAAGAGCAGGAAAGTTCCCCGGGGTGATTAGGAACTGCCGATGCTGGAGAATCTGAGATAACAAGGTGTAGAGCTGGATGAACACAGCAGGCCAAGCAGCATCAGAGGTGCAGGAAATTTCTGAAGAAGGGTCGAGACCCGAAACGTCAGCTTTCCTGCTCCTCTGATGCTGCTTGGCCTGCTGTGTGCATCCAGCTCTACACCTTGTTATCTAGGAAAGTTCCCCATTGTCTCAAGCAGCATTCTCCTCTCAACCAGCACCAAAAATTAAATGCAGATTAACTTGTCATTCATTCTTGGTTATTTGTAGTATCTGGAGTGCAAATTGACTGCTGCATTGCTAATCTGTCATCAAAGACTGCATTTTTTGACAGTAATTAGTTGACTGCAAAGGACATCCTTTGGATATAAACAGAGTTATATAAGTGAAAGTTTTTCTGTGTTTGTTAGTTGCACCCTTTTTTCTCTCGTTTTCTCCACCAGTAACTCATGAATAAATGCCTTATCTCCTGTGTTGCACCACTGGCAGTCTCCATTGTTAAACAAGGTACCCCTGTCCTCTGAGACTTTATCATTAACTCCCCCCAGCCTTACCACCTTCCTGTCTGCTTTTGCAAGCCTTTTCCAGCTGTGCTTTTGAGTCTTTGCTGCAACCTTTCTATTCCAATGCCCCACCATTAGAGAGGGACACTCTCACTCTGCAACTTTGTAATATAAAAATGTAAAATTGTTTTGCTTAAAATTAGGATTATCGGCTCATAATTTTTTGACGAAAATGACTAAAAAGGCAAAGAAAAATGGTTTACTTTTGCAAGTTTAGCTTTGAACTTTTCTCCTGTAATTAAGTCGAAAATGTGCAGACAATTCCCATTGAAAATTCTTGGCATACTGCAGAGGAAAATGGTTCACAGTTTTACTATTGTGCAAATAAATTTAAAATTCCAATCAGTCAGGCTAAGTGATAATTTTAATCACTCATTGAGTAAGGTAAGATTCAGGTCCCCTTCATAAAATTTAAGTTATTTTAATGGCTTATTGTATTATTATGAAGTTTAAAATCTGTGCCTTATCAGTGTGGGAGCTTTGGTTCTGTGCTTCAGTTTGGAAAGGAATTGCTTCAGGGCACAGGTACAAATTCCAACAGAGACCAGGAGCTCTTGGTATTCACAGTGTACTGAATTCGCTTAATGCTCCAGCTCGGCATGCAAGGTTGGTATTTGGTTTTAGTTGTACACTGTATTTCTAGTTAAGGACAGGCAGATCCACTCTCCTCCTGTTTACATATGGTGGTTGGGAGAATGCATGTGTTTGTCTGTTGAAGGAGTTTGATACGTCTGAGGGAGACGCTCACAGGCATCTCAGAATTGGATCATGGGATTGTGACTTCCAGTTTCTGAGCAGTTGATGCTTTGATAGGAAGTAAATTCCTACCTGAGACATTGGGTCAAATGGTCACTCGATTAAGATGATGATCTCATTGCTCTCAGACAAAGCACCCCCCAAGGGACTGATTTCTTCCGAAAAGAACAGCTCCAGCTCTTTATAGTTTAATTAATACCATAAAGGAACATTGCTTCTCAACTGTGTTAATTCTGCCCAACATGTGGGAATTGATTCCAGTTTACAGCTCTGCAGCAAGCTGTTCTGCCCAACTGGTCTGTACTGGCGTTTTTGCTCCACACAAAGCTCCTCTCACCCCACCTGATCTTTTTCGATCAGCATGACACTATTCTTTCCTTATGGGGGCAGACGATGGTGTAGTTCTAATGTCAGAGGCCCACGCTAATACTCTAGAGTCACGAGTTCAAATCCCACCACAGAGGCTGATGAAAGTTGAATTTAAGCAATAAAATCTGGAATATAAAGCTAGCCTCAGTAATGTTGACTGCAACAACTGTTAACAATAATTGTGAAAACTCGTCTGGTTCACTCACTGATGCCCTTTAGGGAGGGAAATTTTGTAGCTTTACCTAGTTTACCAACATGACAGCAGTGTGGTTGAATCTGAGCTGTCTTCTGAAATGGCCCAGCCAGCTCCTCAGGTCGAGGGCAATTGGGGATGGATAATAAATGCACATGAGCCCGTGTCCCATGAAGTTTTAAAAACTCCTCTTATATACATCACCTGTCTGACTTGAGTATACCCATTTGACAGTGAGTTCCATATTTTAACCATACCCTGAGTGAAGGAAGTTGGAAATATGGCAGGCTACCACCCACTTTAAAAAACAGCAATTCTGTCAGCTTTCTGGTACCACTTTTTCCTGCTCTTCTCTACACAATCACAGCCACAGGCTGGTTTGAAAATTGAAATTATAATATCGATCACTTCATCTGTTATTTCCAATGTAAGAACAACACTTAAAAGAACTGAAAGGGAAGAGTTCAACCTTTCTTTTGAATGGAAGGGGAAATGACAGTAAAACATGAAGATCCTTCTTGATGGATCCAAACACCACTGTCTTCTCTCCATATTTCCCCAATTCCTTAGGATGATAGAATGCCATATCACAGAATGGGACCAGTTGACGGTGCCTGTGTCTGCTCATTGAAGGGCCTGACCCATCGGTTTTTGAACAAAAAGTGAAGGAAACTATTAGTACAAGACTGAACAGGCTTGGTTTTTTGCTCTTCTCCCTTTAAGAAAGCATCAGATCTTAGAGGTGGCCTGGTAGAAGTCATTAAAATTAAGAAGATGCTTGATAGGTTTGGTGTAGAGGTGATCTTTCCACTTAAGAGGAGTTCAGAATTAGTGGTAGTAAATATAAGACAATTACTAATAAATCAAACAGGGAGTTTAAGAACAATTCTTTATTCAAGGAGAGGTGAGAATGTGAAACTTGTTACCAGATATAATAGTTAAGGTAGGTGCATTAAATGGAAAACACAATTCAACATGACAGGGAACTGATTAGAATAGGGTGAGAGGAAGTAGAGTGGGGAAAGGCCTGGCACTGTGCTGAAAATTCTAGATAAGTAATCCATTTTGTTTTGTTATCGCCACTGTTTTTCTGATCAGGTTTATTTTCCATGCCCAAGATAATGATATTAAACAAAATATGCCAAACCCTTTCTTGTTGATCTATCTTAAATTTATGAGATGTAGCTACTGACGAGAGGAAATTTTCCCCATTCATCTTATCAAAGCCCTTCATTATTGACTAACACAATATAATAAGTGGTTGGGCAGATGGGATTGAGGAAGCAGGAAGGCTGCAGAAGGACTAGGGGGAGGCTAGGAGAGTGGCAAAGGAGTGGCAGATGGAATACAATGTGGGGAAAGTGGAAGGTAATTCACTTTGGTAGGAAGAATAGAGGTGTACATTGTTTTCTAAACTTGGAAAGGCTTCAGAAATCTGAAGCACAAAGAGACATTGAAGTCCTAGTTCAGGATTCTCTTAGAGTTAACATGCAGGTTCAACTGACAGAAAAGCAAATGCAATGTTAGCATTCATTCCAAAAGAGCTTGAATACAAGAGCAGAGACGCACTGCTGAGGCCGTATAAGGCTCTGGTCAGATTGCATTTGGAATATTGTGAGCAGTTTGAACACTGTATCTAAGGAAGGATGTGCTGGCCTTGGAGGGGGTTCAGAGGAGCTTAACAAGAATGATCTTGGGGATGATGGAGTTGTCATCTGAGGAGTGGTTAAGGACTCTGGGTCTGTACTCTGTGGAGTTTAGAAGGGTGAGGGGAGAATCTGATTGAAACTTACAGAATGATGAGAGGACTGGATAGATTGGATGTGGAGACGATGTTTCCATTAGTAGGAGGGACTAGGGCCTGAGGGCACAGCCTCAGAGTGAAAAGACAACACTTCAGAATTGAGTTGAGGAGGAATTTCTTCAGCCAGACCGTGGTGAATCTGTGGAACTCATTGCTGCAGAAGGCTGTGGAGGCCAAGTCATTGAGTGTATTTAAGACAGGTTCTCAATTAGTAAGGAGATCAAGAGTTACAAGGAGAAGGCAGGAGAATATGGTTGAGAAACATTTCAGCCATGATCAAATGGCGGAGAAGGCTCGAGGGGCCAAATGACCTCATTCTGCTGTACCTTATGGTCTTTTATTGGGGTTGGCAGTGGTGACTAACTTGCTCTCTGCAAAAGTGGATTTCTGATATGGATTTTAATGAAGCCATATACATCCAAATTGCAGTTGTGTTTGAAGTTCCATGACTATAGACAGGTTCCCCAGAGTCGCCGAGACCCATCAACTGAAGGACCAAGAAATGAGGAATGGCTGGATTCAAATGTTGTAAGTGTCTGAGGGAGCAGGAGAATTTGCCTTGGTAACCCCCGCAGTTGTCTGACCCTCCCCTCTTCCACCACCCCATTGCCCCCTCCACCTGCCTCGAGCAAACCTGTTTCACACTCACTGCAGTCAGATCCTTATAAGCTACTTTAACACCTTCTCTTTCAGCATGCATTCCCACCCTACCCCCGCCCCCGCACCCCTAATCTTGCCATTCTCCCTCCTCACCACTCTCAGTCTGTGGCCTGGATTGTAGCAGTCATTCCTGCCCAGCAGTTTGTCTATCAGTCACCCTCTCACAATGGCTGCTGACCAGGAAGCAAAAATGTTTAACAGATCTAGCTGTTAACTTCGGCATTTCCTAACTTTTCAACAAATATCGGGGCCAAAAGTCAGAAAAAAAAAATGAGAAAGAACAGCAATTTGTGAGTAATTTGCATTGTTATGTGAGATTATTAAGTAATGTTTACAAGCAGGCAAGAAAAATGAGAGTCAGAACTAATAACGTTTGAAAACAATTAATCAGTTCATCAGCGTCTGAAAGAGAACTTGCAGGTTAAAGTTTCAGGTGTAACTGTTTATTAGAACAGAAGGTAAAAGATTGGAAACTATTTGTTCCTGATTGAGTGTTCTCTCGACCAAAATGATTGAGATTCTAACCTTGATATGGTAATACTCCAGATTAGAACACAACTATAGCCACACAAGGAGTCATTTGGCCTTTACTTTCTTTGACCAATTAAGTTCTCTGAAAAAATGCCTTGTTCCAGGAATTTTAGCGCAATGACTGCAGTCAGGCAGCGTCTTGAATTTCAATTTTCTCATCTTACTAATGTGAGACAGTAACTGTCGGAGAAGAAATCGCTTTCTCTTTGTCTGTCTCTTTAGGCTCAGTTTGACCGTATGTCTGAGAGGTCGTAGGGTAGCAATTGTCGGCCTGTTCTGCAAATCTTCACCTAAGTTTTTTGTTCTGAATTCTGTATTGTCTTTACAAAAATGGCAACATCCTTGGATCAAGACTGTTGCAATTTAGACGAACACAACTTTTATTGCACTTGCGTGAGCTTGCGATAAGTTACACAGAACAGAATGGTTTTGGTTCATATTACTGACTACTTTGTATTGCACTGTTTTACAATTTGGGGAGTTCAGAAGAACAGAAGGTGTAGTCTTCAGTCTCCCCGCTAAAGGAAACAAAACCATTAAAATCTTCACTACGCTGAGACTGAGGTACCAGGTGAGCTGCTTAAACTCAACATTGCAAACAGTTAACAATTTGAACAAGCTAGCTCTTGGTTAAAGGCACAGGGCTCCAAGAAATATGTATGCTTAATAATAAACAGGAGCAGAAAATAATCAAAAAGCTAATGGAATATTAACCGCTTTAAAAGGATTAAAAAAACAAAAGGGAGGAAGTTTGCCTACAACTTCACAAAACCCTTGCCCATCCTGAGCACTGTCCCTTAGAATATAATCGCCTTGGAAAGGAGTACGCTGTGGATTCATCAGTACGTTACCAAGTCTCTGAAGAATTAGTTTATGAGGAGAGATTACACAAATTCCCTGAAATTGAAGATTAATTTAGAAGGCAAAGAGAGGTTCAATTAAGATTTTTCGGATTTTGAAAGAATTTGTAGAACAGGAGGATTTTTTTTCCCCCCATGAGGACAATAGAACATAACCGTAATTTCAAAAGCAGGCCATTTTAGAGAGATATGGGTAACTCTCTCAAATAATTCCAAAAGTGTGAAGCTCTGTGCAATAACAAGCTGTGGATGCTACCTCAGGTAGTACTTCCAATCTCACATAGATCTTCACCAGATGTTAAGGCAGGCCATTGGAGTTAAAACACAGATCAACCATGGTGACACTGAAAGTGAGGGACTCAATAGGGTGCAACTATTTGTGTGTAGGCGAATGTTGTCCAAATGGATCCATCTATGAATAGACGAATCTGACGCAGGACGAGATCATTTCGAGCCCCCTCCCCGACAAACTTCACCATGCAATAAGGTTGTGGTTTCTATTCCACATTTCTGCCTTCTTCTAATAACCGTTGACTGCCTTGTCAGTTAAAATTTCATCTACCTCTGCCTTAAAGATGTTCAATAATCCTGTCGTCTTTACTCTTTGGAAGAGAGTTCCAAAGACTTATGACCCTGTCAGAGGGGGAAAAAAAAGTATTCCACATCTTCCACATCTCCAACTTCAGTGGGAAGTCCCTGTTCTTTTAAACTGTGTGCACTAGTTCTAGACTCTCCCAAATGGGGAAACATCTTTGCAGCATCCACCCTGCAAGCCCCTCAGGAACTTGAATGTTTCAGTAAGATTACCTGTCATTCTAAAGCCTTAATGGGAAAAAAAGGACCACCCTGTTCAAACTTTCCTTATAAAGATACGGGCAATAAGTGCAGCCATGTCAATGTTACTCGTGATATGTGCGCAAAGTCTGTACTATTCATCAGGTTGCAAGGCATTTTTAAAAATGAAGGACTATGCTTTGTTCTTTGTCCATCTAGCTTTCCATGAAGTTTCAGTTTATCCGAAGAAGGAGCTCCCATTCTTCATCTTGTTCACAGCAGGACTGTGTTCATTCACTGCGATGTTGGCGCTCCTCACACATCAGTTTCCAGAACTCATGGGCGTTTTTGCTAAGGCTGTAAGTATTGCCAGTGAAATTTCCAGGTGCTCGCTTGTGAACCTACTCTGTTTCTCTGTTTTTGTAAGCAGCATATAAAAGACTAAAAGACTAAGACTTTGATCAACGCCACAAACTGAAATTGAAAAACACATCACTGCACTTTATGGTGGATAGTGGGGTAAACATTCAGGCTGATGGATTTTAGTTTTTTGGATCAGGGAGTGGTCAATCAGTCACTTGAGCCTGTTCTCATTACTTCATGAGATCATAGCCAATCAGTACCTTAACTCCATGGGACTGTCTTGGTTCTATAACATGTTATCCTCTTGTCTAGCAAAAATCTATCCATCTCGGATTTAAAAATTATTTCACCTTTGCTCTAGATGGTTTCTCCTGGAGCATTGCCAACTGTAGTCTTCTTATTGAAATCTTTGCTATCTTTTTCATAAATCAGCAGGTCTCCCCAGGATAATAAACAGAGTAATTGCCACTAATTTCTTCTGGAACTAACTTGTGTTTCAGTAAAATTTCTCTTTTGCTTCACATTTTATCTTGAGAGGCCGTTTCTCTGATTGGAGAGTCAAGCGCTCTGGAATCATTGTCTTAGGATCGCCCATTTAGGAGCTCAGATAAGGAGAAATTTCTTCTCTCGGGGATTCTGAAGCTTTGGAATGCTCTACTTTAGAAGGTTCTGGGTGCTGAGTTAGTGAGTACGTTTAAGACTGACATTAGACCATAAGAAATAGGAACTGGAGTAGGCCATTCATCCCCTGTATGCACTTCGCCATTCAGTCAGATCATGTCTGATCTGACATCCTCGCATCCACTTTCCTATCCTTTCCCATAACCCTTGATTCCCATACTGATGAAGAATTTGTCTGTTTCATCCTTGAATATACAGAAGGACGTTAATAGATTGTTTGGCAACTAAGGGAATCAAGAAATAGAGGGAGCCAACAGCAATGTGGATTTTTAAAAAACATTTACTTGTAGGACATGAGCATCGCCAGCATTTATTGCCTGTCCCGAGTTATCTTTGAGAAGATATCCTTGCCTTCCTGGACCTGCTACAGTCCACATGCTGTAGGTTGACCCACAATGCATTTAGAGAGAGAATTCCAGGATTTGAACCCAGCAACAATGAAGGAACAGCAATATATTTCCAAGTCAGGGTAGTGAGTGGCTTGGAGGGGAACTTGCAGGTGGTGGTATTGCCATGCAAGTGTTGCCCTTGTCCTTCTAGATGAAAGTGATCATGGGTTTGGAAGGCGATGACAAAGAATCTTTGAATTTCTGCAGTGCATCTAGTAGATAGTACATACTGCTGCTACTGACCATCAGTGATGGAGGGAGTGAAAACTTGTGGATATGGTGCTAATCAATCAGGCTGCTTTGTACTGGATGGTGTCAAGCTTCTTGGAGTGTTTTTGGAGATACACCCATTCAGGCAAGTGAGGAGTTTTCCAACGCCCCTGGCTTGTGCCTTGTGGACAGGCTTTGGGGAGTCAGGAGAGAGTTACTCGTTGCAGTATTCTTAGCTTCAGGCCTGATTTTGTAACCACTGTTTATGTGGTGAGTCCAGTTAAGTTTCTAATCAGTGGTAACCCCATGTTGATGGTGGGGTTTCAGTGATGGTAACACTATTCGATGTCAAGGGGTGGGGTTAGATTGTCTATTTGAAATGGTCATTGTCTGGCATTTGTGTAGTGTAAATGTTACTTGCCAAGACTGGATATTATCCGGGATTTGTTGCAGTTGAACATGGACTGCTTCAACATCGGAGGAGTCACAAATGGTGCTGAACATCGTGCAGTCATTGGCATGACATTCTGATTTTATGATGGAAGGAAGGATATTGATGAAGCATCTGAAGATGGTTAGGTCTAGGGCTGTACCCTGAGCAACTCCTGCAGCGATGCCCTGGAGCTGAGATGACTGACCTTAGACAACCACAACTGTCTTCCTACGTGTCAGGTATGACTCCAGGCAGCAGAGAGTTTGCCCCCGAAACATGTTGATGCCACACTCGGTCAAGTGCGGCTGTCACTTTCACCTCGCCGCTGGAATCTAGCTCTTTTTTTGTCCATGTTTGAACCAAGCCTGCAATGAGGACAGGAGCTGAGTGGCCCTGGCAGAACCCAAACTGGGCATCACTGAGCAGGTGCTGCTTGATAGCACTGTTGATGACACCATCCATCACTTATGATGAAGAGTAGACTGGAATGGTAATTGGCCAGGTTGGATTTGTTCTGCTTTTTGTGTACAGCACATAACCTGGGCAATTTTCAATATTGTTGAGTAGATGCCAATGTTGTAACTGTACAGGAAGAGCTTGGCTCGGGGAGCACAAGGTCTGGAGCACCAATGGTGCACAGTTGCACTATTGCTGGAATGTTTTCAGGTCCCATAGCCTTTGCAGTATTCACTGCCTCCAACCATTTCTTAATATCACGTGGAGTGAATCAAATTGGCTGAAGACTAGTTTTTGTAATGCTGGGGACCGCTGGAGAAGTCCGAGATGGATCATTCGCTTGGCAGTACTGGCTGAAGATTGCTGCAAATATTTTAGCCTTATCTTTTGCACTGATGTGCTGGGCTGTTTTTATTTTTGAGCATGGGAATATTTGTGGATCCTCCTCCTCCAGTGAGCTGTTTAATTGTCCACCACCATTCTCGACTGGCTGCGGCAGGACTGCAGAACTTAGATTTGATCCGTTGGTTGTTGGATTACTTAGCTCTGACTGTCACTGACTGGTTATGCTGTTTGCCGTGCAAGGAGTCCTGTTTGGTAGCTTCACCAAGTTGACACTTCACTTTTGGGTATGTCTATTGCTGCTCCTGGCATTCCCTCCTGCTCTTGAACCAGGGTTGATCCCCTGGCTTGATGGTAATGGTTGAGTGGGGGATACACTGGACCATGAGGATACAGATTGTGCTGGACTACAATTCTGCTGCTGCTGACAGCCCACAGCATCTTATGGATGCTCAATTGCTGGATCTGTTTGAAGTCTGTCCCATTTAGCACAATGATAGTGCCACACAACACAACAGAAATTGGGACTATGTTTCCACAAGGATTGTGCAGCAGTTACTGGAAGGGCACAAATATCCTGGGAGGGAGGTTTGCTAGAGCTGTACGGGATGGTTTAAATTAGATTGGCAGGGGGTGGGGAACCGGATTTATAATTCAGAGGATGAGGTATTTGGCCTTCAAACAGACACACAACAGGGAGTGAGGTGGTTTATAAAGAAATGTGGTCGATGGAGCGTAATTGCGGACACTGAGATGGTTTGAGGTGTGTATACTTCAATGCTAGAAGTATCAGAAATAAAGCGGATGAACTTAGAGCATGGGTCGGTACTTGGAACTGTGATGTTGTGGCCATTACAGAAACTTGGGTAACTCGGGGAGCGGAATGGTTGTTGGAAGTTCTGGGATTTAGATGCTTTAAAAGAAATAGGGAGGGTGGATAAAGAGGTAGGGGAGTGGCATTGCTAGTCAGGGCGAGTATAGCAGCTACTGAAAGGCAGTTTGAGAATGATATGTCTACTGAGTCAGTTTGGGTTGAAGTCAGGAACAAGAAAGGAGCAGTCACTTTGTTGGGTTTTTTTTACAGACCCCCTAATAGTTGCAGAGAAGTAGAGGAGTGGATTGAGAGGCAGATACTGGAAAGGTGCAGAAGTCACAGGGTTGTAGTCATGGGTGACTTCAACTTTCCAAATATTGATTGGAAACATTTTAGTTCTAATAGTTTAGATGGAGCAGATTTTGTCCAGTACATTCAGGAAGGATTCCTGACACAGTATGTAGATAGACCAACACGAGGAGAGGCCACTTTGGATTTGGTGCTTGGCAACGAACCGGGCCAATTGTTAGACCTGTTGGTAGGAGAGCATTTTGGCGGTAGTGATCATAACTCTGTTTCTTTCATGATAGTCATGGATAAAGATAGGTACATACGGCAGGGTAAAGTTTACAATTGGGGGAAGGGTAATTACAATTCGGTTAGGCAAGAACTAGGTAACATAAATTGGGAACAGATGCTGTCAGGGAGAGCACCACAGAAATGTGGAGATTGTTTAAGGAATGCATGTGTTCGATATGTTTGTCCCTAGCAGGCAGAGAAGATGTGGTCGAGTGAGGGAGCCATGGTTCTCGAGAGAGGTCGAACGACTGGTTAAGAGGAAGAAGGAGGCTTATGTAAGGTTTAGGAAAAGAGGAATGGAAAAGGCTCTAGAGGGATACAAGTTAGCCAGGAAGGAGCTGAAGAAGGGGCTTAGGAGAGCTATAAGGGGGCATGAGAAAACCTTGGCGGATAGGATCAAGGAAAACTCCAAGGCTTTTTGCACGTATGTGCAGAACAAGAGAATGACCAGAGAAAGGGTAGGGCCGATCAAGGATTGTAAAGGGAATTTGTGCACAGAGCCTAAAGAGATAGGAGAGGTCCTTAATGAATACTTTTCTTCAGTATTCACAACTGAGAGGGACCTAGTTGTAGAGGAGGACATTGTGAAACAGGCAGGTAGGCTAGAGGAGGTTGATGTTAGTAAAGAAGATGTGCTAGGAATTCTGAGGAAGTTGAAGATAGATAATTCCCCCGGGCCTGATGGGATTTATCCAAGGATTCTATGGGAAGTGAGGGACGAGATCGCAGAGCCTTTGGCGATGATCTTTTCGTCCTCACTGTCCACTAGTATAGTGCCGGAAGATTGGAAAGAGGCAAACGTCATTCCCTTGTTTAAAAAAGGGAACAGGGATAACCCCGGAAATGACAGACCAGTTAGTCTTACATCAGTGGTGGGCAAATCATTGGAAAGGGCTCTGAGAGAAGGATTTATGATCCTTGGAAAGGCACAGTTTGATTCGTGATAGTCAGCATGGATTTGTGAGGGGTAGATCATGCCTCACAAACCTTATTGAATTCTTTGAAGAGGTGACCAAACACATGGATGAAGGTGGAGCAGTGGATGTGGTATATATGGATTTCAGTAAGGGGTTTGATAAGGTTCCCCATGGT